GCCAAGTCAGGAACACTCTCGGTGACGAAGCGACGAACCCGAGCCTTGAGGGTCTCCGCGAAGGTGACCGCCGAAGGAGACATGCATCGCCCCCTATTGGAAGGCTTCCATCGACCCGGCGAGCATCTCCCAAAGCCATCCACGAACTCGTCCGCGGAGCCCGCAAAGTCACCTGTCAAGGGAGGCCCCTCGCATCCGGACTTCAGTTCACTGTAGTCCAGGTCATCGATCTCAGTCTCGGCCACCGTCGTCTCCAGAGGTCTCTTGTTCTGCCCCGGAAGCCTGAAACCCAAATCAGCAAGTCTGTCCCGATCTTTCAAGGAGAGGAGCCCGTCATTGTTGATGGTGTAAGCAGCTAAGACCAGTCTGCACCCTGCCCAGTCCTCGGTGGAGTGCCACCGGTGGGGGTTGAAGATAATCTTTCTGTCCTGCCAGTCAAGCACACAACCAGTCATCGCGATCCCGTTGACCAGTCGCTCGCAGGTGCCCTCGTCAGATTGGGCCCAAAGGCCCCCTCCAGAGAACTCCGAGCAAGCAAGCAGCAAGTTCTCATAAGCTCCGTTGGTGGTGTCTTTATGGGCAGGCTGCTTAATATCCCGAAAGAAAGCCAGCGAAGAAAAGACCCGGCCCTGAAAGCAACTCGAAGTCAAACCCGCAAGGAGCCTAGACGTAAAAGGAAAACTCCCCACGTTGCGTCGAAGCCCAGCCTTGTCCTGGTGAACAAAGGCCCCCGTGGTGAAGGACCTTTGCCCCGATATGGCCTTGTCCGAGCCTCTGACACGGTCCTCGTCGGGAAGTAAATCTGAAAGACGAAGGAGCTGACCTTGCGATATCCGTCCATTCTTCAAGCAAGAGAGGGACAGCTGCTCGGCCGGATGTAAAGGGCCCACCTGGTCCGCCTTCCAAGACGAATCCAGCGGGGGAAAACTGAAAACGAACTCCGAAGAATCCCGAGTGGCCAAAGTACCTCCCCCATCGAAGACGGAGAAAACCCAAGAGGAAATCAATGCACAGAGGTCCCCGGGGTAGGCCGCGGCCGCAGAAGTAGAAGATGTCCCCAAGAGGCGCTGTTTGTGGCGATGGCCACAATAGCGCGGTAATGGGCCCACATATTTGTCCTCGGAGTCAAAGCGGGGTGGGCCCATGTGTGGCATATGCTGAGCCGCCTGAATCGAAGTGAGAAAGCGTGTCGGTTTGGGAGAGTCCGCACCATGCTGACATTGATACACGGCAA